ACAAGCCGAACCAACCCAAAAGCAACACCCACACTGCCAGCCGCCACCAACCAATGCGGGGAACAAAAAACACCGTCACGGGATTACTGGGAACAAAAAACACCCTGGCAGTACCAGAAAACACCCTAGGAAACCTCCCGGGAACGGAAAACACCATTCCGGGAGAGAGAAACACCACGGGAACAAAAAGCACCAAAACGGGAACAAAAAACACTAGACCCAAAACAGTAGCTGTCCCTCCCATTAAGGGACTTTTTTAGCACATGGTTACTATATAAAGGTTTCTCTCGCATTGACAAAGACAAAAGCATCGAAACAAACACCCTACTAGCCATGCGCCAGGTAGCAACACCACAATCGCGTATATACACTCCTGTGGCGGTTGGGAACCACCAGAACATGGCTGGAAGCCTGCAGTGCTAGGGCAAAAGGCGACATTCGGGGTGACAAAAGCATGGAGCCCACATTGAGGTTCTGTGGGTTGGCGAGCATGCAGCACCAAGCATGGTGGGCACCTGCCATGGACCGATGAACCGATTCGTTGATCGTAGTGGTGATTCGACGTTCTTGGAAGTGGACACAATGCGCCCAAATAGAGCAGTTTGGGGATGATTGGGGTGTATATAATAGATAAAGTATATTAGTTATTTATTTCAAAATCCTACAACCTAACTTCCGCCACCTTTGCGCTTCTTTTGGCCACCCTCTCCTGAAGGCCAAGAAGTAAGAACTTTGGAGAGAAACTCGAAGATGCCTTCTTGCCAGGCGTGGCTCACGAACAAGTCGCAATCCAAACCGAAAGGGTTTCTCATCAAGGCCCAGCTCATCTTGCCCGCTTCAGCTGTGACTGGCTTGATGTACTGCTCAGTGACGGTATAGATGCTGGGCCCGAACTCGTCGTCGTCTTCACTCTCCTCAGATGTGGCGCAAGCTGAATGCTGAAAGAAGACCTTTTCTGCATCGATCGGTCACAAATGCGCCGGCTTTTTGGACATCGGACTGCACTGGCGAACCAAAAGCAGTTGTGAGCGACCTTGAAGCCCCATCAGCCTGGAACTCGAAAAATGCGCCACATCCGCCACATAGTTTCTTTTCGGGGATATGTGTGTGTGCTTTTTTTGTGTGTCTTTTCTTTTCAAGGAACAACATTTAATATCATTTAATGAACGTTATAGCGCTGCCCTTGCGCATGTTCTTCATATCTTTTCAACCCTGTCTCACTGGTCTGTCTCACTACCATCGTGACGAGCAAATGGATGAATCAACAAGCGGGATGAGTGGAGGAAACAAGTCACAAACCAGCAAACACCCAGCCATCCTCGACCAATTAATACTTTAAATATACAGATTTAAAATTGATAAATAATTATTTATACAGTATAATTACGCCCCTTCAATCAAACCACATACGCGCAAGTGCAGTTGCATGTCTATGCATAGATATTCAGCTGCACGTGTCCGGCTTCTGTGCCTTTAACAACACCGATGTGGCTGCTCTGTCGACAGCTGCTCTTCAACCAGTTGCCAAACACAGAGAGTCCCAATGAGAGCAGTCCGCAAGAAGGGGGCTTTCAACCAATGTGGCCTGATTATGGCATCTGAACTGGCATCTGATGGCCATCAGTGTTTTCGTTGGATCCTTTTTCACCACCGACCATTCCGAACATCTAAGAACCAAGAGACCTGACTGATTGTAGTGTCTTGGCTGTACCTCGCCCGATCGGCGTCGTTACCAACGTTGTCGCATGGACGGGGGGGTGCCCCGCGTCGTTGTCGCGGGTCAACCCACTGAGTTGGAAAAAAACGCCCGGTACAAGGACGATGAGTGCACAATGAGTGTACATGTAGATCAATGTTCTAAGGGAATATACCAGACCCCAAGGGCTGAAGGTTGGATCCCTCCACAGCTTCAGAGTCTCACGCGAGCGACTCATGGGGACCAAATCAACGGTCGACCTGTTTGAGCCTCGGATCTTTCGGAGGTGGGACGAGGGTTTAGGGTTCAGCTCTTGAACAAAGATGAATTACTGTACGTAATTATACGTAATTAATAAATCCCAAACGCTCCATGTATGGAATTTTTGATTTGGGGTCAATGTCGGCCAAAAAAAAATCAATACATGGAGCGTCTGGGTAATGGCGGGTGACATCATTTGTGAAAGGGACGAGAAGAAGTCTGTGGCCGGACCCAGCCAGTGGGTTTGAGTCACCAAACTACCAAAAGCAAAACACTGCCACCACTACCAGCACCAACCCGATTCGGATGGTTATTGGATGGAACAAAACAATACAACCCATAGATATTTGCTTCGAGGGGGTCGATCAACAAATGGGTGGTGCTGGTGAATGTTGTTGGACTTCGGATGTTTGACTCAGATTTTGCCCAAAACTGTCGTGATGTTTCTTTCAATTCCATCTGCAAAAAAGACACCGACCAGTTCCAGCCCTATCCAGCACTTCCTGAAATCATCATGGAAGTGGATGGCAGGGCCGCTTGGATGACCATGTTTCCTCTACGAACAGGGGGTGAACTCCACTTCCATGATTGCTTCTCCGGGAGTCTACCCATCTGATTCCACCCCCCTCGCTCAGCTGCGATCTGGAGAAGATACTCCCTGACTGCACGGCTTTCAGGACTTCAAGACGCAAGCTTTGGAGGTCCAAGCGCGTCACACACCATCGATCAGGAGAGACCTCGATCTGAGCTGAGCGGTAGGGTGAGGTGCACTGGTGGGTGGAATAGTGTTTTCTTTCGGTGCGTGGCACTCGAGGGAAATGGTCATCACTCGGACAGAGTGCTCTGTCCTTCACGGTGAGAAGGGTGCTGTTCATGTGCTAAAACCTTATGAAATCCTTTAGTCATCGGTCACATTCCAACCGTTCGCGTGAGTTTCTTCGGGCAACGTTAGACGTTGGGCAATGGGTCATCTTTTCTTTTATCCTTTTTTTGAGGGGTGTCCACTTTCTGCCAAGATCTGATCTATGGAACCTCAGGCCGCGATCTGCAGGTTCGATCGGCAGTCCCTTCCCGGTCCGGGGAGCCAACGAGTACAGCGAGGCAACGAGCACTGATCAATAGCTATCCACGGAATGAACCCTCTCAATATCTCATCATGCATTGTTTTGTTTTGCCCCTTTCATGTTTTTCTTGACTGACCCAGGAAGGACATTTCTTTGATTTGGCATAGAAGACTGCTCCACTTGCAGAACGGCAAAAGCCCGGGCAATGACAAATGCCCGATTTCCCCCAAATCAGTGTTCTCGAATCAGTTTCGAAGCGCCGAGGCGAAATCAACCCATCAACCCATCACTCAACCCATCCCAGAGGCGAATTCGTGCATGGCGATCGCATCGCCCGTGATGGTGCGAGCATCCGGCAGCGCCATGACGTGATGACGCAACGAGTGACGCGCCCAAACAGCGACGCCACGGGCCCGTTTGGTCCGGTCCTGGGCCAAGTGCTGCGGGCAAAAGAAAAGGGCGAGTTCGAGATGAGGTGAAGAGACTGATTTGTGGCGGTGAGACATGTTTCAACGAGGCTTCACAGTTATCTCCGCAAGTTTCAATGTGAAAGAAATCCGTGAAGAAACGAGAGCATATCATATTCATATTGACTGTAGTGTTCAGTGTTCCTTCAGAAACTGTCCCACCAGGTTTCTCGTGAAGCGCCCACACTTTGTTGGATCACAACTTCGGCAGAATGGCCATTGAACAAAAGGCTGAACCACCCCTGCCGTTTGCATCGCACCCCCCTGTCACTCAGGCTCCTTTCTTTCTGGAGAGCCTTACATGCAAGCTTCCTTTCTTGAAAGCAACCCTATGAGCCCAGCTAGTCCCGTGATCTCAAGACTCATGGCTCATGGCAATCACATGTTGTCCGTTCTGAAGGTTCCTCAATGGTTGGCTCAGGACAACTGGGACTCCCTTAGAGGGTTTGAGGAAGCATTCAAAAATGGCATCAAATTTATAGTACAGTACAGTACTTAAATGAGTTGGCCTGCAGCTGGATGGTTGGATGGTCTTCACAACTCTTTACAAGTCCAGCAAAGCAGCCCAAGGCAAAGCCCAGGGCTTTGGGATCCCTCTACAAGCCACGTAGATAGGAATCGACGGGCGTCGCATTGCTGAAGTGGTTTGCCCCCATGGTCGCGTCAGAGCGCCACGCGTATTGGCCCACTCCCCCAGCAGATCGCCACGCGCATCGCAGATCCCGAAGATGTGGGCGCACAAAACTGTTGCCCTGTACAGACTACTCTAATTACACTCTGAGCCACTGACATGGAAGTGGAAAACACCCTGTCTGTTCACGAAAATGGTCATCCACCGCCGCGCCATTTTCCACTTCCATGATGGTTCCAGGGAGTGTATCTCAGCACCGTGGGTCGGCCCTGTCTTTGCAGAGGGAGCCAAAAAAGGCGGTCCCAGGGGCGGATCTTTTCCAGCGGCGCTTCCGGGATGCGGAAGATGCCCCTGCAGTTGTTAACTCAGAGCCTTTTTGTTGGGAGGGAAGGATAGAATGTGGACACCGAACATCACACCTTCACCTTCTCATCATCTTTTCTCATTTGGCCATGTGGGCTTCAAGCTGGGGGGACATCTTTGACCAAGCTTTCGGACACCAAATCCGCCGGAAAGGGGGCGGCGTTCGCTGGACGTCTACAGGGGAGATCTACCGGAATCCAGCTCTACACCTACACCTTCTCGGGGTCCATGGACCCAGCAGCTGCCGTTGTGGACGGGTCAATCCCCAACAGACTCGCTCGAGCCCGAGACGACTGGGCAGCAGCGACGAGAGCGGCAATCATGGCCGCCCCAGCGCCTTGAAAGGAGAAACCTCAGGTGCCATGGAGAGCAAGACTGGAGGTTTAGGGCCTAGGTTTCGCCAGAAGCAACACTGGAGGTTTAGGGCCTAGGTTTCGCCAGAAGCAACACTGGAGGTTTAGGGCCTAGGTTTCGCCAGAAGGGTCTAAGGAACTGTTCTCCAGAACGGCCTAAAGGATCCTAAAGGCCTTCGTTGAACTCTCGAGGGTCCTCTCTTTTTCACGATCGCCTAAATAGGCGGTTTCTACCAGATTCGGAACCAAAGAACTGATCAAGTACTGGAACGGAGGTCTTCTCCATGATGTCCGACCCCCCTTGCCCAGAGAAGAACTACAGGCAATGAGTAAATGAGTAACACACACAACAAATCACCGTATTCAGGGTCCGAGTCCTTCTTCTGACCTTACGAGTAAGGACCCCGATCTACTCCAGAATCGCTCACGAGTCCAAACCCTCCAGATGCACATCCAAGATACAGCAGGATACTTTTGCCACCTCCGAAAGGGTCAAACCCGGATCACAGTCGATCCAAGAGGCGCCGATTCACACTTGACTGAATTCAAGAATATTCCCTGTGGAGATATGGCAATTGAATGTAACAGTAACATAGTTGAGGCCGCTTCGCCCTCTAAAACCTATATACCCCAAACCCGAAAGTTCGATGCACCCATGACAAATGACTGGGGATGACTGGGGGTCAAAAAAAACACCTCTTTGCAACACCTGGGGTTGGGCCTTGTCATTGGTTTTTAATTTGGGGGTGGATTTGGGTCTGTCCCTTTCTTCTGCTCCATCATAGCTTCGTCCTTGAACAATCTCTTTCGTTTACCCTATCCCTCACTCACTCCTAAAACTTCCTTTCTGTGCGAGTGCCTTTTCTGCTTGCTCGTTCCATCTCGTTCCTATTGTGCCTGATAAATCGCCAGAACAGCTCTAAAACCGCGTCTTTCCCGCTTGTGATCGTCGTTTTCTGGCCTGGTAACTTTAAGGTGCCCCTGATGCTCAAGACGGAAAAGAATAGCACCACAATCTTGATGTTGTGGAGGCTGGTGAAGAGCACTTGAAGGACTTGCAATGCCACCTGGGGAACGGACGGATGGCAAACGGCAAACCCTTGGCCGCAACACATTGGTCGACAAATTGTAGGCAACGCTGTAAGACCAGGTGGTATTTTTGTGGGGGGCCTGGTTGAAGCACTTCCAAAACTATTGTATATACCATTTACTTTTTACTGAAAATCAGAAACCCTGTTAGGACCTCTCCCATGGAGTAAAACAAATCGATTGGTGGTGCATCTCCAAATGCAGAAAAAAAACAACACTTCACAACCAAAGTCTGGTGTGGATCCGTGTAGTATTATTAGTTTTACTGAATGTCCGACATGTTTTCGGCAGTGTTTTTTTCCCCCACGTCAATTCTCATGCCGGGGTGGAGAAGACCCAAACCACAAAGAATTTGCAATTCTTCGGATGAACCCGTATCTGGAAGGCTGATTTGGAAGGCGGAAAAATGCAAGGTTGCAATGATACTGGCAATTTGAATTTGTAGTGACAGAAACCTAGCATGTGTTTTGATAGGTGTATTAGGATGTCTACATGTCTGCCAACATGCACGCTGATAAGCAGTGTGCAATACAACAAACAATGACCTGTCTACTGGCAAATAAATCACAACAATTAGTGATTCCATCACCTGGTGAACCAAAATGATATTTTTCTCAAATATCTGGATTGTTGTTTTTCCTACTTTCTTTTTTGTTTTGCTGAAAACCACGACTGCCAGCACCTCTCCACCACATCGCAACACAACAAAAACATACAACGGAAACACATCCCCCAGGCTGGCACTGAGTTGGTAACAAATGCTAGGAAATGGTGTGCGCATGTTATTTTTGTTTTTGTTTAATCGTGTCTGTTGTGATTTGCTGTTTGTGGCGTGTAAATACTGCAGCAAAAAAATCAGTATGATAATATGTATTCTTAAATTTGGACGCACATAGTATATATAGTAGTTGGAAAAGTGCATGTGTATATCAACATATATACAGTAAATTTACAGTTTAATGTTTTCTATGTTTTAACGTACCTTTTTGTGATAATTAAACAGGTTTTGTCAATCAAACCCAATACTGCAAACACATCCGCCGCAACCCAACACATGAGATATGGTGGCGGTCAAGGTACCAGAAGTTCGACACAAAAACGACCGCTAGCGGTCCATGCCTGACATGTTTCCCTGACAGGTGCCCGTAGTGTTTTCCACAAGTTGTTTGGACACATACAAGTAAATGTTTAAACACATACACAGTTACTTGCACAAATGCATTGTTCTTGCAATCTTTTCATAAAACTATATATAATATTGTCCTAGCATCCTGTTGCCGTATGTACACGCCACCAACAACAAACCACAACAAAAACTTTACAAACACGTTTCTCCATTTCCCAGAGTGCTACCATACCGTAAATTTTGAGGGCCAAAGCCTTGAACCCACCAAATTCCACCTCTTTCATCCAAGGGTCGTCTCCTTCCTCGTTCCCGACGGCGCCCATCACGGCGGCCTTAGAGTCGTACTAAAGAGTTTAAGACGTCCGGTTCTAGTACTTTCTTGCTCCTAGTAGTATATAAGGCCTGGAGCCCCTAGTCGCGTCCTTGCTCCGTTCGTAGCGATGCCCTTTCCTCCTAGTAACATGTTGAAAAGAAGGTGCGTGATGTTAGGGCGTAGCTGTTGATGGTGGGATGCCACCATAAATGGCTAGGGGTGGCGGTCTAAACTAGACCACAAACTTGTATCACACTCTTGCGCCGCTCTTGTGGGACACTGTTGCGGGGCATTCTTAGGGACACCCTTGTGGGACACTCTTGTAAAACACTCTGACACTCTTGCTTGACATTTGTGAGACGGTGTGAGGATACTCTTGAAAGACACTGAAGGGCACTCTTGTAGGACGCTTTTGTGGGGCGGGACACTCTTGTAGTACATTCTTCCGGGAAACCACCGCTCATCCTGCTCGGCGACACGCCACGTTTATGCCACCGCGCTTCCCTTCACCAAAAGGCACGGACTCACACGCCAACGCGCTTTCCACCAAAGCCGAGCCAATCCGCGTAGTACAGGGATATCACGGAAGAAATTTTGCCGGGCCGTGTGTGTGTGTGTGTCACCCTCCGTCTCTAGGAGTTTCTTCCCAACGACAAAGCAGGGGACGCTGGGGATTCGTGCAATCAGCGACCAACGAAAATGCGGCACGTTTCCTGTCAAGGACGCTTGACTCACGTACCTGCGGATGATATGACTCCACTTCTTCCCTTCCATGGTTAACATGATACCCCAAAACATTTCCCTCCGCCGCGTTTGCCGCGAACATTGTTGAACACTCCACTTGAGCCGATTTTCCGCCTTTCCGTTCCCACATCCATTTCACTGTGGATTATGGAAACTGCAAACCCAGTGACTAAGACCGTATCGCTGTGTCTTTTTCACTGGGTACACAGTGTCACAGTGTGATCCTCTCGCAAGAGAGGCGCCGAAACCATTGTGAATCACATATCGATTCAGCTGACTTGCTCTCGTGGATCAGGTTACTGGCTTGTTGTCTCGCCCATGAATCTTCTGATCGCAAAGCGGCCGCGCTTACGGAAAACATACACACGTAAACACACATGGACATACACCCCCTCGCTTTCCCCCCCCCCGCTTTCTCTCTCGCGCTTTTCGTGTTCTAGGTGTTCTTTCAGGCTTGTTAGGTGGTTCTTGAGGCTCGTTTCGCTGCCCCTCAGTTTTTAGCTAAGGGCCAAGTAGTCAAGTGCTAAGTAGTCACCTTTTCCGCTACTCCTATCTTTTTCTCTTGCCCTTTCGTTTTGCTCGTTCTGTCTTTCTTTCTTTTCTAAGGCTTTTTAGATCCTCCTTGGGCTACACCAGGTGGGGCTGGGTCCCCCTAAAGGTGGATAAATTGTGAGGGTACCCAACGTGCCACAAAACCGATTTTCTTCAAGCTTGGGCTCAAATGTGGATAAAATGACGTTGGGTACCTGGATAAATGTGGGGGGACACAACATAGGCTCTGGCTAAAAAAGTTTGGCCAGCCTTGGCTAAATTGTTATGTTCCCAACCCTGCCTGGCAATTTATTAAAAACACCTCAAGATTCAAACCCGCCTCCTCAAGAGTCCAGTCACTCCACTCGTGAGATTTGTGCAGCCATGCATTTGTCAAGCAAAGGGCATAGGTTGCAGCCTTTGCTGGGTAGGTGGTGTGTGTGGGTTGTGTGGTGGCTCAAATGACTGGCTTGCAAGACCTTACAAAGCAATGCTCAAGCAAATGCCAAGGCAACGTGGAATTCATCTGCACAACACATTCTCTGGCAATCTTGTGTTTTCTTTGTTGTGTGGTGGTGGAATGTGGCTGGCTTTTTCTAAAATGGTTGGGTTCCAAGGTATCAGAGAGCAATACAGTGGAACATTTGCAGGGGGTGCATTTCATGTACACAAAACACCACCATGATCAGAATTTAGAACCTCTACACTCTAGGGGCATACCACAAACAATTCAAGAGATTTGTGCAGCCATGCATTTGTCAAGCAAAGGGCATAGGTTGCAGCCTTTGCTGGGTAGGTGGTGTGTGTGGGTTGCGTGGTGGCTCAAATGACTGCTTGCAAGACCTTACAAAGCAATGCTCACGCAAATGCCAAGGCAATGTGGATTTCATCTGCGCAACACATTCTCTGGCAATCTTGCGTTTTCTTTGTTGTGTGGTGGTGGAATGTGGCTTTCTTTTTCCCCACCTGCCAGGTGAGGGTTGTTAGATTTTATCACAGTTGTTCCTCCTTCCTCCTTCCTTTCTTCCTTCCTGCCTTCCTTCCTTCCTCCTTGCTTCCTTCCTCGCCAATCTTCGTCGCCTCGCCAATCTTCATCGCCAATCTGCTTCGCCGATCTTGTCTGGCCAGCTCCGGATCGCAGTGTGCACCCCTGGACCTCAACCGCAAGGATCCCCTCGCAGTGTGCACCCCTGGACCTCAACCGCAAGGATCCGATCGCAGTGTGCATCCCTGGACCTCAACCGCAAGAATCCGATCGCAGTGTGCACCCCTGGACCTCAACCGCAAGGATCCGATCGCAGTGTGCACCGCTGGACCTCAACCAGATAGTTTGCCAGATAAAATGCCAGATAGAATGCCAGGTAGATTGCCAGATAGAATGCTGCAAGAAGATATGCCAGATAGTATGCCAAATAGTGTGTCAGATAGATTGCTAGATACTTTGCCAGATAGAATGCCAGAAAATATGCCAGATGGAATGCCAGAAGATATGCCAGATAGAATGACAGAGAGTATGCCAGACAAAATGCCACAAGATATGCCAGATAGAATGCCAGGTAGATGCCAGGTGGGGATCACTCGAAGTAAAGTAATTCTAAACTGGTTGAGTTCCAAGGTATCAGAGAGCAATACAGTGGAACATTTGCAGGGGGTGGATTTCATATACACAAAACACAACATATACACACCCACCTACCAAATACCCTGGGGCTAAAATGGGTTGGCATGTTTGGCTAAAATCATCGCTCCCCAACCTCCCAACATATTATTCCATCACCATGGTGCGCACCCAGTAGATGGGGGGTGCCCAACGTTTACATACATCTCCAGCCCCACATACCTCCGACACAAAAGGTTGACAAAATGCTACTAAATTTGGGCTAAACTTTATCTTTATCAGGGGCTCAAGCCCTCCCAATCCTAGCCAGGGTAGGCCGACGGGGATTTTTTAGGTACCTACTGAGGTTTTGACCCGTAATTTGCCGCTCGTGCGGCAGACCTGCACGCCCTTACACCTACCTTTTTCTCCTGCCCTCTTCGTTTTTCCGTTTCTATTTTCGTTTCTTTTTCTAGGGCTTGTTAGGTGACTATATAGGTTCAGCGCCCGTAATCGGCATTTTGTGTGTGTCACCCTCCGTCTCTAGGAGTTTGTTTTACCACTATCCACTTTAACTTTCTCTTCCCAACGACAAAGCAGGGGGTCGCTGGGGATTCGTGCAGTCAGCGACCAACGAAGACGCTGCACGTTTCCTGTGATATGAGTCAAGGACGCTTGACTCACGTACCTGCGGATGATATGACTCCACTTCTTCCAGCGCTGTGTTTTGCTTCCATGGTTCTTTCATGATGCACCCCAAAACATTTCCCTCCGCCGCGTTTGCCGTGAAAAACATTTCACTTGAGCCGATTTTGCGCCGTTCCGTGCACATCCGTTTCACTGTCGATTATGGAAACTGCAAGCCCTGTGACTAAGTGTGACACCGCGCCACTAATCATCCCACTCAGAAGACACACGTCGTGTTTACGCCATCATCATGTTTCCTTTCTCGCGCAAACACACTTTCCACCGGCACAGTGGCATTACTACCTCAAAATTTCGACGTACTACGCGCCAGCTCAGACTAGGTGACATTGCACCACCCGCTCACAAGCGACATTTGCAGCACAAAGCACAAAGTTGCCAGCTCCCAGGAGCAGCTTCCCGAACTACATTTGCACTGCAAATTTTGCAAGTTCTGAGCCCAAAGCTCCCAGACACTACTTTCTCCAACAGACTTTCACACGCAGCTACACACTTTGGCAACTTCCACCAAAATTTTCGAGGTACACTTTGGCAATTCCCACCTTGATTTCTTGACGACAATTCGACACTTTGGCAACTTACAAGGTTATTTGGCACTTGAGAAAAAGGGGGGGTGGACGAAAGGTTGGTACGCAGTGGAAAGAGTGTGAAGCTCCATCAGGCCAAAAGCACATTTTAGAGCGGTTTTCAAGCAACATGTTTTCTGATGTTTTCTGTATGCTGTGGATCTCTGTGTGTCTGTCTGACTAGTTTCATAGGACGGTTGCAGCCCTAACTCTGGCGAACCACCCACATCATCGCCCAACCCCGTCAAATAACAACTTTTGCTTTCACTGGCCGAGGGCGCTGAAACTCTCAGGTTCCTAAACAAAGTACGTCTCACAGACGACTCGGCTATATACTATTACACAAATTTAGCAAACTAGGAATTTGTTTTTCGATCGACACTTACACACACATACACACATTAAAACTAAAACATATTCCCTCGATTAACTTCCACCTTGATGTTCGCCGACACTTACACACACACACACACACACACTTTGGCAACTCGACACGCACGACGCCCGCAAATGGTTCACCGCGCACATCTAAAAGTCAAATCTCACCTCACATTCAGTACTCGACACGCACGATCTCCGCAGAGGGTTCAGATGTTGAGATGTGCGACGATCAAAACTCATTATGTGTGGCAAGGTCATGGTGTCGTTTTTCGGGGTTCCCATCGTCTCACACAGTGCGGAGCTTGTTTGGGTTAATTCATGATACATCGAATCCTCTGTATGGGAGGTCCCTGGATTATTGGCCTTCTTCTCCTGAGAGCTGCAAGCTTGCTGTTGCCTTTACTTTGAAGAAATGACGCCAGCATAGACCCCAGAGAGCAAAAGACACGAGTAGGCAGCACCAGAGCAGCGACACCAGCACCCAAGCTCCAACCCGCACACGGCCAGCAAGAGCGCCCAAGCTCCAAAGCGCACGCAGCCACACATCTGGCAGCGGCACCTTGCAGCAGCAAGAGCGCCCAAGCTCCAAAGCGCACGCAGCCACACATCTGGC